CCTGGTTGGCATTTTTCTGAATGTTTTGTACTTTCCTTTTTTTCTTTTCTTCCTGGGTTGAAGAAACACCTTAGGATTGGTCAGAAATGATGTGCAGTCCCTGAATCCCATGTCAGGAGCCTGGCAAGGTCTGACTTGCACTGTGGTCATACCTTGCTCCTTTTTTTTTCCTATGCTTTGAGCAATTTCAGAAGATGTCAAATATTCATTCCCCAAAAAGTTCTGGATGACAAGGGCCCTTTGCCCTGCCATCAGTGAAAGGTAGAAGGAAGCTCCCATTCACCACTGTCTGGACACAGCCTGCTTGACATTTCATCCCTTTTTGTTAACCCTTCTTCCACCCAAAAGTGGATCCAGTTTTACTGCTGCTTGCCTCCAATCTCTCCTTTTGTGCAGCCTGAGGTTTTCTGATGCTGAACAAGTCCCCTCTGAGGTCACACATACACTGAGGAGGAGACCCCACCAGTTGGAGCTCCCACCATGCAGGGCCACTCAGATTCCAAGCCCACCAGGGCTACAAAGGGCAGTCTGGGGTAAATTGAGTCTCAGATGTGTGAGAAATCTCCCTCTTTGTCTTTTGGAGCCACTCTTGTGACTGACAGAGGCCTGCAGAGGTGATCAGCACACTGCCTAATTTGTGGACTGCCCAGGATGCTCACTGCAGTGGTTGTCAGTGGGAAGATGGAGCAGTGCTGAGGAGCCAAGAGAATCCCTCAGTCCTGTGGGAGCTGCCCAAGCTGTGGAGCTCACAAAGTGCCTACCACACTGGGGCAGAGTGTCCTTACCAGCCAGGGACAGGCATTCTGGCACTTCAACAGGTCTGACCAAGGGCCAAGACATTTTTCTGCTTTGAATTCACTCCAGAAAAAATTTACATGCAATTTTTTTATTTTTTTTTCTTTCTTATTTCTTTCCACACATCTTTGTCTGCCGCAATGTCTGAATAAGGTCCAGTTGGTTCACGAATGTGCTGCCTGGCTGCTCACTGCCATTCCCAGTGGGGAATCTGGTCACACAATTTCACACTCAGCACAGCATGGGGAGGAGGAATGAGGCCTGGGGAAGCTGCCACTAATGCCTGATGTGTAGAGAGAGGGTCAGCACACCTTGAGGATCCCAAATGTTTCTGAAATCTGTTTTTCTGGTGAGTTTCTTCCCACCAGAAATTAAGGGAATCCTTCGCTCTTCCTTCTCTGCTCTTTTAACTCTGGATTTCTTGGCAGCTTCTAATTCTGTGGATAGCTATTTGTTCACTGAATTTTCTCACACCAGCTGGGAAGCAAAGTCCTTCTGTGAGCTTTAATGTATCTGTGTGTTTTAATAATGCATTACTGTTGATTTTATACAAATATCACTATTTAAGAACTTCAAAGTCTTTGGTGTTCCCCCACCCTCCAGACTGCACTTCTCGCTGCTGCTGTTGTTAACACTCCCATGCGTTTCAGCCTTGGAGAAATAAATATTTGTTTAGCTGTTCTCCTGCTGTGCCTGCTCAGTGCATTTGTTTAATGATGACTTCAGTTTAGCTTTGCAAAGGGGTTTAGGGAAACAGATTCTCCAAGAAAAGCAATTTGTGGACAATTTTCCCTGTGTTCGTGCCCTCCTCTTGCCACCCCACCCCTTTTTTCCCTGGATTAGTGTTTGATTAAATAAATGTACATGGGCAAAACTTCAAGATCAGCTGTGGTGAGCAGTCAAAGTTTTGACTGTTTTGGTTTTTTTTTCCTACTCCACTTATCTTCACCTAAAACAGTGAGTTGAAGGTTAGACTCAGCAAGTACCTGCTGCTCTTTCTTGTCATTACCTAAATTTTCTTTAATCTGTAATTTTCTTTTTCTTCTATAAAATATCAAATCATGTATTGGCTCATATAAACACTTTCTCTAGAGCCAGGCCCAAGCTGCTGTTTCAGAACATGCATTTGTCATGTTCTACCCCAGCCTTCCTGAGTCAAATGAGAGATTTTACCTTTCACACATAACACCAATTTAGTCTATGCTATCACATTTTTTTTGTCAAAATGAGGACAATGATAACCTTCAAAATCTACATTTGTGCATCTAAATGAAGGGTCAGTTTTTTATTCCTGGAAATTCAGTACCACTTGGCAAAGAAATGAACAGAGGATTTTATTAATCCCTTTGCCATTTCAAGTAATTTTTTATAGCTGAACCTGAAACTCTTATATTAAACAAACACCCACAAACACAAAAATAGAAAAAAGGAACACCACCCCCAGTCCCCCAAAACAAAACCCAAAGCTCCAAGCCCCAGGAAATAGCATTATAAAAACTCAGACTCTGAAAAGCTCTTAATTTTGGTAGGTTTGTTTGGTTTTTTACCATTTTTATAACTGTCTTGATAATATTTAAACTACTCATGCTTCATTTTTGAAATACAACAAATATAATTTTGCCAATAACTAGATTCAACTTCTTCTAGAAAGCAAAAATCACTTCAGTGAAGTAACACATCAGACTCTCTCTTCATATATTTCCAGCTGACAAGGTTTTAGCCTATTGCAGATTTTTTTTTCATTATGCTTCAGTGCATGACCTGGCACTTGTGTGGCTGAGTTTCATCTGACTACAATCATTCTGGCCCTCAAAGTCATCCCACTGCTTTTTTTACTTGTATGATATTCAGAACCTCCTCCATAATGATGATTCATTCCACAGTGTGTCATCAGCAAATTTTGTTGGCATGGCCCTCCTTTACTGTGCCAAGAACTGTGATGAAAATATTATGTAAGATTTATCTCAAGAATAATCTATTAGGAATTCTAGTCATAACTTTCCTTTAGCCTGATTAAGATAATGGGAAATAGGAAAAGGAGTTCATGTGCAAACTGTATCCCAAAACCACGAACTGTACTCAGCAGATACTTGTACAATTTGTTTTTAAACATAGTTGATGAGATTCCATAATCTTCACAAATGTTCCATATCAGTAACTGAGTCTCCTACTCACTGAAGTACTTCTATCCCTAATGTCTTCCCTGAGTCACCTCCACCCACATTTTCCTTGTTTTTCCTGTACCAAATACAGCCTCAGAATTAGCTTAGTCCCTTTGTGAGTGATGCTTCTGCACACAAAGCCCAATTTCCTGTCCTGACACATTTGTTGTCCTGTTCCTTTGAGCTGTTTCCATCAGAAGTTGATGCTCTCATGCATTAAAAGTTCCACTACAGGCATTTGTTGGAACATGAAGCACCACCCACTGAATGTGATGTTCACTTGGCTCAGGAAGCAATCCCCCGAGCATGGTCATCTTCCTCTGTTTCTGAAATTTAACTGAGGACAAAGCTCCCCTCAGTTTCAGGATCTCAGTAGTCTTTTGAAGGTTTCTTTTGCAGGAAGCCAGAGAACATTTCCTCTCATAGACCTCCTTAAGTATTTTATCCCATATATCAAATTAACAGTTAATTTTTCCCAGCATTCCTTAGTAGTGCTTTACTCCCTCTCCCAAAGGTATTCAGGATATCCTGCAGGCTTCTGCCATGTAATTTGGCAGAAATTATATGATATCTACTTAGGAGAATGCATTCTGTGTACAAATTACCACAAAGTTAAATATTATGTTACCAAAAAGACAAGTTGCATTTGGAAACACCTATATATAATGCTAATAAGAAACCCAATTCCATTTTATTCTAATTAAGTTGGAAAAAACTTCCTTTTTACAACATGAGAGAGACTTCAAGATATTCAGAATGTTAATAAACTCACAGGTATTTCTACTTTTTTATATCTCTTGACATACAGTATTTATCAAGAATTTTTGCTCATTTCAGTATTAGTCTGATTTTCTCAGTCTAGAGAAGTTCAGCAGTTTGAACCATTGCCTCTCATTTGCTAAATACAAAGGAAATGTAATTTTCTCCAGTTTTGGTAAGAGATGGATTTCATAAATATTCCCATTGTATTAGCTAGAGAAGGTAGCAGCCCTAAGGCTCCATAGGAGGACCCTGGACAGCTCAAAGAATTCACCATGGCCACATTGACTGAACAATGAGCTGTGGTAAGGGCCCTTTGTGTTCCACTGGCAACATAATATTCTTACAGCAGGAGATATTATGACCTTTCATACAACAGATCCAAGCTGGATCATTTTTTTGTGGTTGTCACTAGCTTGTGCTGAGCCCAGATTGGCTCAGCCTAATGGTTATGAGGTTTCTGAATAGAGACTGAAAATCAAAATGAAATCAGAATCCATTTTTTCTATCGAGATGGTAGGAACAAGCCCTGAGACTTCAATCAACCTGAGGATGAGCTGCCCTTTAGTCTCCAGATGTCATGCCTTCAAAGGAGAGCTAAAACTCATTTATGGAAATACTTGGAGTCCTCCCCTCCACCCCTCAAATGAATAGTCATAAAGCTGTAGGGTTCTTAAAGCCAGATCTTCAGTAATAGCACAAAATACTGCCTTTTATACTGTGCTGCTAGTGCTGTAGAATAGTGAGGTAGATTTTTCCACCCAGAGAGCAGCACCCCGTTAACATTTAAGTTAGTGAAGTGGAAATTTCTGTGACCTAATTTAAGAACCAGTCAAATGTCTTAGGTGAGAAAGTTCCACCAAAACGTAAATGCCACTGTTATTTCTGCTTTGATTAAGAGTCCAGGTGAAGGGGTGGGGGGAATGGTTATGGTACAGGGGAATGCAGAGGAGACGAAGGAATCCAATATCCAGGTAATGGAACAGCTTAACTCCTGAGCATGGGGGATCTGGAAAGCTTGCTTTCAACTCCTGCATATGACAGCCTTGCTTTGTGTTATCTGAGAGGGAAGAGGAAAAGCTGATATTAATAGTGAACCCAGATGAATTTTCTGAAAGTCTGTGAAGCATCATTTATAGCCAGAAACGTGCTTCCCCTCCAGGCCATGATCAAAAAACAGCATAAATGAGATTTGGCAATGTGAGTGAAGCTGCTCTCTCTGCTGAGAGACTCCTTCTCTTGCTCCACTGAACTCCTCATGTCCCTGTGTTCTTGCTCCTGCAGTCCAGCACGTCATTCAACAGGGATGCTGTGAAAGCTGGGACAGGCCGGCGCTTTCTTGGCGGGCTCTTAAATGACACATCCTACTGCTACACCCTGGAGGTCTCCTTCTACAGCTACATTTTGGGTGGAACTGCTTCTGCCGTGCCCTACACCGAAGAAGCCTGTATCCTTTTGAAATCCATCCTCTTGAAGCACATGTGAGCCAGGCACTTAAGGTAAATACTTCTGTCTCCATAAGAGTTTGCTGAGATAGAAACACACACAAGTGGAAATGTGAGTCTGCTCCTGGTGCTTTAATTTCCCTCCTATTGATTCTCCATACTGTTAAAATTCAAGAAGAGAAAGACATTAGATCAAATAAGCCATTTCCCTCTTGTAGGAGATTGTCTCACACACTTGTTATAGAAGCTAGTCCTGGAGAGTCTGTGATCCATTCCCTACCACGGACTTCCATTTCTTTCTTCATTTCTCTCCTTATTTCCTCATTAGCCCTGTGTTTGTGTTATTGTTTTAATAGCAAGCTGAGAGTGCGTCTTTGGTACTGAGTAAAATATCTTCTCTGCCTTTGAACTGGGTCCACTAGGTTCTGCAGCTGCCTCGAGGACAAATCTTCAAGGCCAGTTGGCAAAGAAATGGAAGTCAAATTGTGAAAACAAAACCATCAAAGTTGTTGGCATTTTTGAGTGCTCAAATAGAAGCAGTGTCTCATTCCTCAAAAAACACATATCCATCTGGCTATCTCAATGTATCAGCAATTTGTAGAATTGTTCTGACTGGGCTTATGATCTGCTTTTATGTTTTTCTTTTTCTTTTTGTCACCATGCTCAATCAAACACCCAGTGCCCATACTTCAACGCTGGGTATGTTATTTCATTTTGTCATTCTATCTTGGCAGCTTTAGAAATTTCCACAAGTTTAGAAACACTGGAGAAGGAGAGGGATTAGCTGTGACTGCCTATTTACCTCCCCGCTGCATTTTGGAACTTGGGGGTAACAAGGGAGAAATTTTCATATGAGATAATTTTTCACCATCCCTGTATACAAGCTCTCGGTGTGGGAATAAGAGCAAGAAACAGGGAGTAGGGAAAGGAATTGTTTGTCATTTGGGCTTTTGTGGTTTGATTTCTCCACTGAAAGTGAAATTTGGGGGAAGGAGGGAGATGTATATATTAAAGTGACTTACCTGGCTTGAGCATTTGGAATAGAAGCTCTTTTTTATAGCTCTTTAATAATAGCTCTTTTTTGCCCAGCAAAGTCAACTGAAGGAAAAGTTCCTTGCAACATACACAAATGTAGTATATCTTGCCACTGTGGAAATAAAATGTTTTCACTGTTAGGTTTAGGTATTTATTTTCTTAAGTTGGTATTTTGGTGTTTCAAGAACCTGTGCCTTAGTTTCACCTTCAATTTTTCTTCCTCGCTTCCTGCTCATTGTGCTGAAAACTGCTTATTTCTCTTTATTTATCAAGAACAGCTTTTACAGCAAGGAATGGAAAGAGCCCCTATACACATGAGATCATGATTCCCTTGGATATGTTTTCCTTCATGACTGGTAGATAAGACTGCTTTAGTTTCCTTTTCCATAAAGATTTCTGGTTTGTGCTTCACATTGCAGACGTTTCACCTGTGGGGTCCAACATCTCCATTTGCTTGGCTTGCCTTGCCTGCTGCAGGCAGAGATGCTCCATTCTCTGTTCATTCCATCAGCAGCTGGGGCACAGCAAACAGGCTCCAGATCAGAGAATCTTGGAGCTGGCATAGGGAAAGCTCAAGCAGCAGCTTGGTTTCTGCAGTTAGGGTTTCACCCAGCTGAGTGGAAAAGGAGGAGAAGCAGCTTTTGGTTGGCCTGGCAGACAGCAAGCAGGGGAGGCTCTTTTGCCTGTGGAGTATGCTTCACTGGCATTTTTCTCTGGAAGGTTTTATTATTTCTTTTTCAATGTAGGAATTCTATCCAGAGTACTGCCTATGAGATCTTTTCCTCACGTGTGCAGTTTTCTAGTTAGTGAAAGAAATGGAACTGCTTGAGATAGTCTCTAGACTGGTCTGATCCAACACAGGAGTAGCCACTGGATTTATGCACATCCTGTCCTGACAGGGGAGAAAATTTCACATCACTGAAGTGCCTATGACTGAAAGTAAAACAATTGCAGAACATTCCAGTTTAGCCTGAGCAGCTCTTTCAAGCTATTTGCAAGTCAGTGATTAATTAATGCTCAGATTTTTTAATGGACCTGAACCAAAGACACAGGCAGTCAGTTCACATTGGCCTCCAAGGACAGGGCTGTTTCTATTAACTATCTACTTACATGCAGGCAGCAACTCAAGCAAATAAATGAAGAAAATACAGTGAGCCCAAGAACTGTGACTTGATAGTGGAAGTATTCTGGATATCTGCCTTTAAAGATGTATTTCTTAGAACTTTGTTCATCCCACTGTGATGTTATTTGGTTGTATGAGTCTTTTTTCCCTTTCATTTTCTTTTCCTTTCCTTTTTTCTTTTCTTTTTCTTCTTTTTCCCTTTCCTTTCGATGGAAACAGGATCAGGGAGTCTGTGATTGTTCAAAGCTTCTCCTGTTGGATAAAGAAGTACAGACTGAGATTCAGCCTCAAACTCAGGTCACCCATGACCATGGAAAGAGACTACAAAGTGGATCACACATCCAGAACTAGCCATATTGGCTCTTTTTAGAGAACAAAACCAATTAGGATCTCCAGATCCTGAAAAATATTAATTTAGCCTAATGTTGTTCCTGTTGACAGGTAGGAAAACCGAATACTCTGAACAGACTTTTGTTTGCACTGGTGATAGGTAATGATACCTGTCAGCTTTTTTTCTTTAGAGCATTTGTGGCAAATAAGATCACAGTACTACTCCCTTTCATGCCATTATATAGGTGGATTAGGTTTGTTGGTGGGTTTTTTATCTCTTCATGTTCTCCAGGTTTTATATGCTAACTCTGTAATCCATATGAACCTTTGTGTGACAGTAATAGATATATTTTTACATTGGGTGAGATTATCCATTTTTTTCAGATTTGTGTGACTGACTGAACCATACTTTGTAATTTTGAGATAAGTGGATACCTTACATGCATGGAAATGGAAGACAGACTTTCAGAGTAAGTGTTTGAATTCTAACCATTAGTGTGGACAGTAACTTTTTTCAGTAAGAAAAAAAGAATGGGAAGGTATCTTTAGAAGTGGAAATAAGTTTCAAATTACTCCAGTTAGTGTGAATGTTCAAAATGAATTGGTTCAGAATTTAGAGGATGATACCTGGAATGTTCTGAACACAGATTGGATACTGAGACTGCACTATTTAAATTAAATCCAGGCAGGAAGGATCTTCCTTCAGCCTGTGCAGGGGGTGTATGTTTGGGGCATGTATGGTGGGATAACATCATGCAGAGTGTTGAGTTTCTGGCCCTTTCTAAAACAGAGAATTAACATGATTGCATCAATGTCTCAGGCCTTGATTGGAATGATATTACTGCTGGAGTTCCTCTTGTATTTTCATCCAGCAAACAAAGCACTTAGACATTCCTGCAGAGCTGTGTGTGTGCCTGCTAGGTCTGTGTCTAACAGATACATACCTGGAGTGTGAGAAACATTAGGGATGTGTTCTGCAAGCTCTGCAGAAAACCCTACGATAACACATGCTGCAGATAACAGTGAATGGACTCTGTTTCAAAGGCATAATAAGAGGATTGCAGGCTTGTCTGTTACTCGCCTGGAAGTGGACAGAGAAATGTTTAAAACCCTTCTCACACATGCACACGTTTGGTGGTAACTGATTAAAAAAGGCAGCACAACAGCAGTTAGCTCAGCACCAGGTGAAGGAGCTTTAAAATGAGCTGATATGCTTCCATTATATTCCATGTTTTACTAGGCATTTACAGGGCTTATGACATGAGGCTTGTAAACTGCTCTGTAACACTCACCACCAGCAGCTCAGCTGCTGAGCTGTCTCGATTCACAGCAGCCTCTGAGCTGGGCAGGGAGCAAGGGATAAAAGTGGGGAAAGCTGGATGAATCCCCGGCTGCAGGGCTGAGCCCTGCTCTGACAGCACATCCAGAATTGGTGTTTTCCAGTATCCCACTACAGCTGTGAGCAGCAGCTATCGCAGCCTGACCTGAGAGCAGCCAGCAAAGAACTCTCGCATCAACAGCTTTAAAATCTAGCTGGTTCATTTCTTAGAGTTTTTGAACTGGATCCTTGCTGCAAAGGAGGCAGCCTATAAAAGAGAATAAAAGGTTTTACTCTTCCACAGCCCAGCCGTGAGGCAGGAAGGCAGAAATGATGGAGACCTGGCAGGAGCTGGTACAACAGTAGCTGTAGGGGAGGAAAATCATCGAGACGGGTGGGCATCACGATTGTCAGCATGTCCATAGCTTTTTCTGCGTATTTTTATCTTAATTGCAAGCTTCCTCCAGGTGGAGAAGGACCCCATCCAAAGGTGCACTGCTGAACTCTCTTGTTTGTGGGAATAAAGATGTATTTATGTGGCTACAGCCACAGAATGAAGGCTTGGATTGACTAGAGTCTCTTCAGACACCTAACACGAGCTCACATCCTGGACTCTCGACACAGAGACCACTGGTTTCATTCTTATTCTTAACTTCAAGCAAAGTATCTGCCTGCTGCTTGACTGGGGACTTGAGAAGTTAAATCCCCAGAGGAAACAGTCATTTGTAACATCCAGATTCCTTTTAAAGAGTACTTGGATCTCAGTAAATGCCTGTCCTGGGGAAAAGGAATCTGTATGCAAACTACAATTCCAGTAAAAGCATCTATAACTTTTAGAGCTTCATGTACCTGCCAGTCCCCTAGGGCAAATGTACTTGGTTATTTTGGGATTTTTTACATTTCTTTTTTTGGCAACTGCCTGTCTTGATCCTCCTATCTCTGTTAGTGATATCCTTAAGAGAAGATCCTCATGAGACAGATTATGGCCCTTGCAGGTTCGTTCCCCGCCAGTAAAGGCAACATTACTAGCAAAAGCCAATGAGTTATGAAAAGCTGTGCTGATAAAGCTGAGGGAGCTCTGCAGAGGTTATCCAGTGTAGCTTAGGTTTGAACTTCAGTTAGAGGTTCTTGCCAAGATGATTTCAAAGTAAATCAGGCACATATTCTGGGAAAGGCATCCAGAGGTCTACTTCTGC